ACGACCACCACTGAACAAGACACACAAGCTGAAACGTCAAGACTGGGCCAAGAAATATCTCAAGACTGATTTTTCTAAGGTTTTATGGACTGATGAAATGAGAGTGAGTCTTGATGGGCCAGATGGATGGGCCCGTGGCTGGATTGGTAAAGGGCAGAGAGCTCCAGTCCTACTCAGACGCCAGCAAGGTGGAGGTGGAGTACTGGTTTGGGCTGGTATCATCAAAGATGAGCTTGTAGGGCCTTTTCAGGTTGAGGATGGAGTCAAGCTCAACTCCCAGTCCTACTGCCAGTTCCTGGAAGACACCTTCTTCAAGCAGTGGTACAGGAAGAAGTCTGCATCCTTCAAGAAAAACATGATTTTCATGCAGGACAATGCTCCATCACACGCGTCCAAGTACTCCACAGCGTAGCTGGCAAGAAAGGGTATAAAAGAAGAAAATCTAATGATATGGCCTCCTTGTTCACCTGATCTGAACCCCATTGAGAACCTGTGGTCCATCATCAAATGTGAGATTTACAAGGAGGGAAAACAGTACACCTCTCTGAAGAGTGTCTGGGAGGCTGTGGTTGCTGCTGCACGCAATGTTGATGGTGAACAGATCAAAACACTGACAGAATCCATGGATGGCAGGCTTTTGAGTGTCCTTGCAAAGAAAGGTGGCTATATTGGTAACTGATTTGTTTTTGTTTTGTTTTTGAATGTCAGAAATGTATATTTGTGAATGTTGAGATGTTATATTGGTTTCACTGGTAATAAATAATTGAAATGGGTATATATTTGTTTTTTGTTAAGTTGCCTAATAATTATGCACAGTAGTAGTCACCTGCACACACAGATATCCCCCTAACATAGCTATAACTAAAAACAAACTAAAAACTACTTCAAAAAATATTCAGCTTTGATATTAATGAGTTTTTTGGGTTCATTGAGAACATGGTTGTTGTTCAATAATAAAATTAATCCTCAAAAATACAACTTGCCTAATAATTCTGCACTCCCTGTATATTTAAAAGAAGAAAAACTACCACAGCAAGAGGACATAGTCTTATATAAGAGGGGTAAAGGTTTAAAAATAATTTCAGGAAGTATTACTTTACTGAGAGGGTAGTGGATGCATGGAATAGCCTTCCAGCTGAAGTGGTAGAGGTTAACACAGTAAAGGAGTTTAAGCATGCGTGATTTAGGCATTAGGCTATCCTAACTATAAGATAAGGCCAGGGACTAATGAAAGTATTTAGAAACTTGCCGAATTGTTCTTATCTGCCATCACATTCTATGTTTCTAAAATAATAATGACTAAAGAGTGCAGTCACATGATTGGAACTAACAATTCACGGTAAATGATGGGACATGTAAGTTAAACATAAGAAAGAACTGAATGCAGTCACGTGATTGGACCCAACGGTACTGAATATAAGCACATAAGCAATAGTAGAATAAAATCTACTGATAATAAAGCTATACTGTTAATAAAGCTATTATGGCAGATTGTAAAATGCCCTAGAAGAGGAGAAACAGAAACACTTAGGTGCAGTCAGATGATCAGACCAAAGACAATCAAGACAATGTAATTGCAAAAAAAAAATATTAGCAAGAATAAATATATATATAAACAAAAGGGGAAGTAACATAAAAACAGAAATGCCAAACCAATAAAGTGTGACAAAGGGATAAAAAGATAACAATAAGTGACCCCATGCTCGCAAATAATTACTCGGCAGCCATGTGATCGAGGGCAATTGTAATAGAAATAAAGAAAAATGACAAAAACCTGCGTAAAAAAAATAATAATTTAAAAAACCTAAAAAAAATAAAAACACTGAACAAGTACACCAGGGGCTGCCTCTAATGAGTAAAAGACAAAATGATATATGTATTTAAGATTCACTCAAAATTAAACAAATCGATGTCTGCATTTAAGACATCTTGGACTTGTTTTTTTTTTTTTTTTTTTTAATGTATTTATTTTTAATTAAGAACTCAGTCTCTTTTTTACTCAGTATTTTGGTCATATCACCTCTTCTCCAGGGTTTATTGCATTTTAGATACTGCTAAACTTTAGCATATTGGGGTCTCTATTATGAGATAGGGAGTGTTTACAGAGAGAGGGGTTGATTAAGCCTTTTGGGATATTTCAGAGGTTCTTTCCAATTCTTGTTTTTAGACATCTTTTGCTCATTTCTATGTACTGGAGAACACAGGAGCACTCTAAAAGGTATATCACATTTTTGATTTGCAGTTGATAAGATCCTTTAAGCTCAGATTTTACTAAAGTCTGGTTCATTTTAGTGTCTGCATTATTAGTAGATCTACATGCAGCACAGTTTTTAAAGCTAAAGCTAGTCACACACATGAATCAATGACCTAGGCTTGGCAAAATTATTTTTATTCCTCACACCACGGTCCCAAATAGAAGATTTTCTTTTCTCTGGACAGCCGACAAAAAAGATAACTTTTATGAACTGTACATTGGTAAAACAGCCCCCAACATTTTCCCTAGTGCTTCTGGTAGTTATAGATGCTAGGTACAGCATAAAACTAAAGCTAAAGCTAGTTTCACACTAGAATCAATCACCTTCCTACCTCCCACAGCAAGCGTAAACAGACTGTCTCACTGCTGTTCTGTGTCCCTAAGTATCTGAAGTCAAAGTGTCTAGAGGAATCCTGCTTGGAAATATAGTTGTATGATTGCTTTGTTTTTTTCCTCTTGCACTGGTCACTTCACTTGATCTGTGAATACATTCAACATTTATAGATCTTTTTTTTTACTACCTCTTGATTGGAAAGGAGATCCAAACCACATGATTGGGCAGACCTGTTGACTTGTTATATTAAGCTGCCTATTTGCCCGAACCCATAAAAGAAAAACAAAAAAAATGATCCTCTCCTTCATTCCAAACCTATTTTTTTCTGGTGCCAGGAATGGAAATGAGCATATTCAGGCTTTCCTTTAGATTTTGGAACATGACAGTTTGGAAATAGAAATGTTTACAATCATTCCATCGGTCTGAATTTGTACAAACTGCAGTTCGGTCTAAAACTAATCTCCAAGTCTACAATATACTTCAGTGTTTACTCACATGTTGATAGTAAACTGAAAAACATATTTTTTTGTTATTGAAACCTTAACATATACTGCCACATGTTAGTATAGAAAGTTTTTAAATTCACAAAAAAAGCACTGTCAGAATGTTGTGTGTAGATCTTTCTAGGATTCATGGAATGCAGGTGCCAGCAAGCACACACACATGAAATGGAAATACAGACCTTTCTCAAACACAATAAACCATACAATAGCTTTACATTCTACTTATTGGTAGAAAGAAAACAGCTCAGCATTGCCTTCAATGTATGTAAGCATCAGCAATAGACTTAGAGATGGTATATAAAGGCCCTCTGTCCTACATATCACCACAACTTGCTTGACCATATCAACGGACAGTGGATCAGTACTGAAAATGGGAAAGGTAAGATTATGTCACAAAATGATTAATATCTTACTGCAGAGGAATTATTTGTTAAATTACAAACCAAGAGTTAATAATTCAAAGACATGCTTTCAATAAAAACATAGGGACATAGTAAAATGGCTGCCATTAACTGTCACTATTAACAGCTGATAGTCTGAAGTGGCTAAAAATCGCCATAATATTTCTAGCCTTGTAGCTAAATTTTAGTAACACTTTCACTAATAGCAGCTGCTGCGGCAGGTATCAACCAGTCTTATATTAGTCTCTTGCTGGTAAAGCAAAGAAACACATACCAGTAAATTCACACTAGCTTCTTTATGAACAGTAGTGACAGGTGAGATTTAGCTGTCTTTAACCACTTTACTCCAAGCTAGAGGTAATGGGAGCCACTAGTGACTACTTAGTGACTTGTGAAACTTCTCGGTCAGGAACTGCTCGTGAGGATTTGCAACATGCTACAAAGTATTGACAAAATTGCGAGAAGATGTGAGTGGATAAAAAGTTTAAAAATGTAGGTAAAATAACAGAAAAAAAAATACTATTCTTACTTCTTTCTGTACCTATATCTAGGTTCAGTTTAAAAGAAACCTTTTTTTTTTTCATCTATCTGCAGTTTATTACTAAAGAAGTTCACTATTAACTTTAACTTTCACTTTCCACTGGGATAAATCATGAAATTAGCCCTGGAACTTAGTTTGAGATTGGTAATATTGAGTATACCAATCTCAAACTTAACGGACATTAGATAGCTAATATAATGCTGGCTGCAGTAAGGGGGGATAATAGGAGCATGGCATTTCAGTAATATGATTTAAATTACTGCTATGCCCCAGATGTGTCTCACTCCCTGTCCCAACCTCTTTTTCTCTTGGTACCTGCCAAAGGACACGAGTATGGAAATAGATGAATGCGCTGCAAAACAAAAGAAGAATACATTACTTTATAACCTAATATATACAGTAATCAAATCAGCATTACATTATATTTGGCAATAAACAGCACAATGGGCTTTTCATGTTATAATTGTAAATCCAAAGCCCCAGAATTAAACCCATCGTCATAGCTTTAGTGATTATATCATATATACATTTGTGTAATAGTCGAGCCCTTGTGATCCTTGTTATTTATTATGTTTGATGCACTGCTGGCAACTAAAAAAAATGTATAATATATATTAAAATTTATATATATATTCTAATGTGTAATTCCATTCATAGATTGTCTTCTACGAGGATCGTAACTTTCAGGGACGCTCTTATGAGTGCAGCTCTGAATGTCAAGATTTGACCTCATATTTTAATCGTTGCAATTCCATCCGAGTGGAAAGTGGAAACTGGATCCTGTATGAGCACCCAAACTATAGAGGACACCAGTATTACCTTAGCAGGGGAGAATATCCTAATTTCCAGAAATGGATGGGTTTCAATGATTCCATCAGATCTTGTCGTGTTAGCCCACAGGTAAATATTTTTACCAGAGCAGTTAAGAATTTTACAAAAATATTTTTAAAGATGCACCCCCAAAAGAGCATTCTTGGTTCCAATCTATGATTAATAAAGGTATAACTTTTGAAATTATAACCTTGTTTATTTGAAAAACATTTTTAAATGTATGTATGTAATGTTTTCTTAATCAACTAAGTCAGCACTTACTTTCATGGCCACAAGAGGGTCAGTGTCAAAATTAAAAAACTCTCGGTGTAGGTTCTAGATATTCACATGAAATTATGCAAGACTTTGTCATACTATCCGTGAATTATAAATATTTTTTAATCTCATAAAGCACCATGGATCATTCAGAGTGAAGGTCTATGAGAGGGATGATTTCAGAGGTCAGATGATGGAGTTCACTGAAGATTGTCCTAATACTCATGAAAGATTCCATTACCATGACATCAACTCCTGCCAGGTGCTTGATGGTTACTGGATGTTCTATGAGGAGCCAAATTTTAGGGGCCGCCAGTATTACCTGAAACCTGGAGAGTACAGAAGATATTCTGACTGGGGTGCCATGAACCCAAGAATTGGCTCATTCAGGAGACTCCACCATTTCTAATATGTTATATTAATTGATGATATTACATGTTATTTATAATTCAATAAACAAATTAAACAGTTATCATTTTGTGCAATATTTATCTAATTCTACGGTACTGGTATACCTTTACTTTATCAAAAAAACTATTGTAAAATGTTATTACATTATTAAACACTCTAGCATTAGGAATAGGAACATGAGCACCGTGTGCATCCAATTTGATGCTTCTCATAGGTAAGGATTATATCCAATGACATAATTGAGCTGAAGTGGTTTGGGTGCCTTTAGTGTCAATGATTATTAAAAAGTATAGTAAAAAGAAGATAGCGATCTGAATTAACTAAATATTTAAATAAAAAATGAAGATGCATACATTTAATTTCACCATTCCTGAGACCAGGATCAAGTCAGCAGCTATATTTAACCAAGCTGAGCTTGCCTCAAGAGGGGCTTGTCTTCCCAGGCAGGTATTGCCCCTCTGCCTGTCCTCCTTCTCCCATCCTCTCTGCCTTTCCTTTTCCCAGGAAGATAACGACTCCTCTGCCTGTGCTACCTCCGACTACTGCCTTTACCAAGGCACTTGCAGCCTATATTTTGCCACCCTCTGTGAAAAGATGCTTTTAGCTCTCAGGTCAACCCAGCCTTTTCTTTAAAGTCCCTTATACCAGAGAATAGTGTAGCCAGAAAGCAGGTGTGAAAATTCTGGCACTGGAATTTCTAGGAAAACAAAACAGACAGGAAACACAGTTCCTGGGAACTTCTACAATAAGCATTTATATGGTAAACATTTAAACACAAATATACATACCACTGGGTAGCAAGCTTTTATACTTAATACAGCAAATATATAATACCAGCAACACTTTCAAACAGTGTCGTACCTACCATGGTCACGAGGTTGCTGCTGTGATTGGAGCAGTAACTCCAGGAAACCCTGCCACAGCTGTGACCCCTGCGACCGTGGGCCGCAGGCACACATTCAGGGCCAGTGAACAGCCGCACTGGCCCGGGGCCAACAGTTGCCCGGTTACCAGCATGAGGGGAGGGCTGTGCTACTCTCCTCCTGTAGATGTATATAGAGTGGCTGAGCGGTCTGACAAAAAGTGCACTTCCTGTCAGATGGGTACCGTGGCGGTGTGCAGGTGTCAAGGTCACAAGGGAAATGCAAGGAAGCAGCGCCTTCAGTAATATCCTCAAATCCAGATAGGGAAGGAGCAATATAGGGAATAATAGGAAAAAACTGAAAATAGTGTAGTATTTAGGTAACCACTGATTATAAATAAAACAAAATGCACTTACAATTTTCTGGAGCTTATATTCTGCTGAAGATATATGCGCTTGAATGGGACAATCCCCGTCTATAAATATGTTGGTGGTCTAATTTGTATGTTGAGAGGCATCTTCAGAGGTTGTAAAAGTACTAACAATGACCTTTATGGCATTTTAATCCTTATTAAATGATAACAATAGAATATTTTAAGAGACGATGGCATTTTAAAGAACATTTTACCAGATAAACCCGAAATTGTTTTTAGAGGAGTTCCAAACCTTAGAATGTGTTTCACTAAAAACTGCACTAACAAATTCTCTTTTAGTCAACAAGGATTTTATAAAATACAAAACCTGCTTAGCATGTAGAAGTACTAATAATGAAAATGTTAAAATATCTCATTTTAAATCTAAACATTCACCTCAGGAATTTTGCATAAACCGTTTCAAAACTTGCCATTCCAAAAATGTTATTTATTTATTAGAATGTCTTTGTAAATTACAATATGTAGGCATGACCAACAGATGCCTCAAAATTTGCATTGCTGAGCACTGCAGAAACATTACAAAAGGTTTTATAAACCACTGTGTCGAAACATGCTTACAATTCTGCGCTATAGAGAAAGTCTCTCCACGACCCTTCCCTCCCCACCTGGCAAGGTGAAAACCTCTCTAAACTATTGGGCAAAAAAAGTGATGTGCTGGTTCTTTAAACTGAACACTTTAGCACCTCAGGGGTTAAATGTTGATTTTGATCTTTTTAATAAAAAAAAAAAACCTTTTGTAACCACATGTTCTTTTATTTATTTTACCCTATATGTCTTATTTATATGTCCATATTTGTTATATCTTTTTGTTTTTTTACATATCTATCTTTTTATGTTCACATTTTTTATGTTCAGAAAATTACACATTACAATTATGCTATTATGCTACTTTCTTATGCTATATGTGCTCCCCTTTATCTGGTTCTATATCTATAAATATACCTATATATGCAAGCTCTACTACAAGCCCCACAATCCTTAGTGTTCATATATGGAAGGGATTTATACCCTCCCATTTGGGCTTAGCCAGTACACTCAGGGAGTGTTAGCTGCATTTCAGACACTCCCCCTTCAAACTTGTCCTTCCCCTCTCTCCCTACCCAGCGATCCTATGTTTTTATGACATTGTGGTCTGTGCCAATTATGTGGTGTCGTCATGACGCCATATTTAGGTGTACGAAAATGTCACTTGCAATGCTCGTTTTAGGAGGGAAGTGGTTCCCTCCACCTCCCCACTTTCTCTACTCCCACATCCCACCCTCCCCTTTTGATTTAATTCTATGACCGCGCCGATCACAATGTTTTTGCTGGTGGTGGCCATATTGGTGCTTTCAGTTTATACTGTGCTTGAAGCTAGCTACACATTTTTTGACTACTTTTATATTTTAATAAAGGATTTTTGTTTTACAGTTATGTTATTTACACACATGATTAAACCCCTTCTTCTTTCTATTGCATATTATATTTTTATATAATTTTTATGCTAATTGAATGTTAGTCACATGACTGATGACATCAACTGATCATTTAAAAAAAATTGTTATGCTATTTAAACAGGATAGGTCCAAGACACTGTAACACTTTGAAAAATCTTTACTTTTGGTGAAACACGTTAGTGTTTTTTATGCTGTATTTGGTTTTATTATTTTTTTTCTAATAAAACCAGTTATTTTGTAGAAATTTGGAAATTTTTAATTTACCTTTGAAGTTTTTAAATTGAGGATTAGCTCAGTGATTTCCTTGGTGGAGAATCCTACGATTAATAGGATTTAGCAATACCTGGCATTTCTCTCCTTTTGTGAGTACACCTCATTTTATCCCTTTCTTTTATTTTAAAAATACAGAGACCACTAGATTCTGCATTTAATTGCATTTTGAATACCAATGGTTCCTGACTGCTACACTGTGGTGCAATGAAAAAAAGATTTTCGTGGGATAGGCATAAGGCTATCCTAACTATAAGATAAGACTAGGGATGTAACGAGAATATACCCCTACACGCAGGATCCAGCTAAACAGAGGCAAATACAGAGGAGAGATACGTCTACCGGACCTTAGAATGGCCGGACTCGACGTATATGAGAGGAGACAGAGCCAGGAACAAACCGAGGTCAAGGGCACAGAGAGACAGCGTAAACTAGGACAAGCCGGGGTCTGGTACACGGAAAACAGCAAGCCGGCAAACAGTACAGATAAGGATAAAGCGAAAGCGAAGTCAGAATACGAAGCCAAAGTCAATACGAGAAAACACAACTGAACACCACAAGCGCTAAAGGGAACTGAAACAGAAACCACGATAGGGCAACGAGCTAAGGGAAAAAGGTAAGTTTAAATAGCTTTAAAACGAAAGTGATTGGCTCCTGTCACTTCCACACCCCTATAGGTAATTGTACAGGGAGTGCGGTATGACTGGAGCCAATGGGAGAGCCTTTTGGCAATTAGGCTCCCACTGTCTCTTTAAGAGCGCGCCCGAGACTCGCGGCGCGCTCTTAGTTTCAGGCGGGTCACTGCCCGCCTTCCATCCAAAGCAGTTGGATGAGCCGCGCGCGGCTCGTGCAGCCGCAGGACCGCGCGCGGCTTGAAGAGAGGACCGCGACCGGCCCCCGGTTAAGGTAAGTAACGCTACAGTACCCCCCCCTGAGGACACGCCCCCCGGGCGGGTAGGACCAGGCCTGGCAGGAAAACGAGAATGGAAAGAGCGCACAAGACGGGGAGCATGGACAGCATCAGCCGAAATCCAACTGTGCTCCTCAGGCCCATAACCCTTCCAATGTACCAAGTACTGAAGTCGACCCCTAAGGAAACGAGAGTCAAGAACAGCAGACACTTCAAACTCCTCATGACCCTCCACCGAGATAGGAGGGGGAGGAGGAGTATGCCGGGTATAGCGGTTGCGTACGAAAGGTTTCAACAATGAGGTGTGAAAAACATTAGGAATACGTAGATTCTTAGGCAGGCCTAAGGCATAAGAAACAGGATTAACCTTATGTATAATACGATAAGGTCCAATGAAGCGGGGAGCCAATTTCATAGAAGGCACCCGGAGACGAATATTCCGCGTGGAAAGCAAAACCCTGTCCCCCACAACATAGGACGGAGCTGCTCTGCGATGCTTGTCAGCCTGAGCCTTCTGGCGAGTAGCAGAGTCCACCAAAGAACGCTGAACCTGCTCCCAAGTATTACGCAAACCAGCCAAATGCTCATCCAGAACTGGCATGCCCTGTGAGGAGAATGCAGCCGGAAGAACAACGGGATGCTGGCCATAGACAACGTAAAAAGGGCTCTTGCCGGAAGAATCATGAGTGGCGTTATTCCGAGCAAATTCAGCCCAAGGAAGCAGGTCAGACCAATTGTCCTGATGGTGAGACACAAAACAACGGAGGTATTGCTCCAGAGACTGGTTGGCACGTTCAGCAGCCCCATTAGACTGGGGATGATAAGCGGAAGAAAATGAGAGAAATACCCATTTCTGAACAAAAGGCCCTCCAGAACCTGGAAATAAATTGGCTACCCCTATCGGATACAATAGATACGGGAATCCCATGTAATCGAAATACTTCTCTAGCGAAGATATGAGCCAGTTCCTTGGATGTGGGCAACTTGCGAAGAGACACGAAGTGAGCCATTTTGGAGAACCGATCCACTATCATCAGGATCACTGTGTTACCATTTGAAGGGGGTAATTCAACAATAAAATCCATGGACAGGTTAGACCAAGGTCTCTCGGGAACGGGTAACGGATGCAACAGCCCACAAGGAACTCTACGGGAGGATTTCATACAGGCACAAGTAGTACAAGCACTTATATAGTCAGTGACATCCTTTCGTAAGGAATCCCACCAAAAATACCGAGAAACAGCTGACACCGTTTTGGAAATACCAGGATGTCCAGCGGTCTTAGTATCATGATATAATGACATAATATCCCGTCTCTCAGGAACATCAACGAACAGTTTATCATTAGGCCTCTCGCTAGGTGCCATGCTTTGTTTCGCTTGTATGGCCTGCAAGAGGGACGAGGAAATAGACAAAATAGTAGTAGCTATTATCCTGTCTGGGGGAATGACAGGAGTAACATCAATCTCCTGTTTGTCAGTAGTTTCGAACTGTCTGGACAGAGCGTCTGCTTTAGTGTTGCGATCACCTGGCCTATAGGTGATAATAAAATTGAAACGGGACAAAAATAGTGACCACCTAGCCTGCCTGGAAGACAATCTTTTGGCTTCGCTAAGGTAGGATAGGTTCTTGTGATCCGTAAAAATGAGGATAGGATCCTTAGTTCCTTCTAACAAATGTCTCCACTCTTTAAGTGCTAAAATAATAGCAAGGAGTTCGCGATTACCCACATCATAATTTTTCTCTGCTTTGGACATTTGTTTAGAAAAGAAGCCGCATGGATGCAATGGCTTCTCAGGCGACTCTCTTTGGGATAAGACAGCACCTACCCCAATATCCGAAGCATCAACTTCAAGAATATAGGGCAGAGAGGGGACAGGATGCTGTAAAATAGGTGCAGAGGCGAACGTAGTTTTAAGAAATTCAAAAGCCTGAAGTGCCTCGGTAGACCAAACACGAGTATTGCCATCCTTTTTAGTCATACGGGTAATAGGTGCTACAATGGACGAGAAACCTTTGATAAAACGTCTATAATAATTGGAGAACCCAAGAAAACGCTGAATAGCTTTCAGACCTTGCGGTAGAGGCCATTCTATTACAGCAGCTAGCTTCTGGGGATCCATACGAAAACCTTTAGCGGAAATCAAATACCCCAAGAACTGGACTTTGGTTTGGTCAAACAGACATTTTTCTAGCTTGCAATAAAGACCATTAGCAAGAAGGGTCTTCAAAACTGTCGTAACATGTCTGTGATGAGTGTGTATATCTGTAGAATATATTAAAATGTCGTCCAAGTATACGATAACAAATGTGTGAATAAAATCTCTCAAGACATCATTAATAAATTCTTGGAATACTGCTGGGGCATTGCAAAGCCCAAATGGCATAACAGTATATTCGTAATGACCGGATCTAGTGTTGAATGCAGTCTTCCATTCGTGATTTTCCTTTATACGTATCAAATTGTATGCACTCCTAAGGTCTAATTTAGTGAACACAGTGGCATGTTTCAGCCTGTCAAATAATTCTGTAATCAAAGGTATAGGGTATGCATTTTTGATAGTGATTTTGTTTAGACCTCTATAATCTATACACGGTCTTAAATCACCTTCTTTCTTCGATACAAAGAAGAACCCTGCTCCAGCTGGAGAAGAGGATCTCCTAATAAACCCTTTTTCTAGTGATTCCTTGATGTACTCCTCCATGACACGGTTTTCTTGAACCGATAAGGGGTACACCCTGCCCTTTGGAGGTATAGTGCCAGGCAACAAGTCAATAGCGCAATCATAGGGTCTGTGAGGCGGTAATTTCTCAGCCTCCCTTTTATCGAAAACAGTCTTTAGAGATAAGTACTGAGGGGGTATAACCGTAGACAAAGGAGGACTGGTAGGTACCTCAATAGAATTCAAAGGGGTGACTTCCAACGTACAAGACTCGTGGCAGGCCTCACTCCATGATTTTATTTGCCCTGTCTCCCAGTCAAAAATGGGATTGTGAGCACGTAACCATGGATACCCTAATACTAACTGTGAAGAGGGAGAGGTGATGACCTGGAATCGAATGGTTTCATAGTGTAAAACCCCTGTGTACATGTGTAATGGTACAGTCTCATGAGTAACAACTGGAGAACTTAATGGTCTACCATCTATGGCCTCAACGGCCAAGGGTATCTCCTTCTCTCTGATGGGAATGTTGTTTCTCTTTATAAAGCCAGAGTCTATAAAATTTTCAGCTGCCCCAGAGTCAACCAGAGCATATATGTTGTCAACTATACAAATCTCTCCCATATATAAAGAAACCGGGAGAAGCAAGCGGTTAGGAGGCAATTTAGGAGACTTAGATATCACACCCAAGGCCAGTCCCCTATAAGGTCTTAGGTGCGAGAGTTTTCCGGGAGTAAAGGACATTCCTTTACCATATGGTCTCTCCTACCACAGTATAGGCAGAGTCCCTCCCTTCTCCTATGTAATTTCTCAGTATCAGAGAGTTTGGCAACCCCTAATTGCATAGGTTCCTCCTCAGACACTTTAACACTCTCAGGTATATTAACTCTGGGGTTAATGGGTGTAACAAAACGTCTATTCCTGTTCTTGGTATAGAGCCTGTCACGAATTCTATTATCAATATCAATGAGGTAATCGATAAGGTCCTCTAAGGCAATAGGAAGCTCCTTAGCTGCTACCTCATCCAATATCGTATCTGACAAACCTTCCATAAAGGCAGTAGTTAACCCATTGTTGGTCCAATCTACCTGCGAAGCAAGAGTGCGAAACTGAATAGCATAATCAGCCACAGACCTAGAACCCTGTTTAATTCTCATTAATGCTCTCGCGGCATTCTTTGACCTTTTCATTGTGTCAAAAGTTCTACGAAAAGCCGTAAGAAAACTGTTGAAATCATGTACCATAGGTCCATTAGCTTCCCAAATAGGATTTGCCCACTCAAGTGCCTTATCGGTAAGTTGGTGCATAAAGAACCCAACCTTAGACCTCTCTGTGGGAAATGAGCGTGGATACATTTCGAAGTGAAATTCAATCTGATTAATAAACCCTCTGCAAGTCTTAGAGTCCCCTCCATACCTAGGAGGAGGTGTTAAATGGGCCGAAGTATTAGGCAAAGTAGATACTTCAGGGAGAAGGGGCGTAGGAGGGTTAGGTGTAGTTGCTGGAACGGTTCTAGCTAGGAGCGTCTGGAGAGCCTGAGCTATTTGATCCATACGGTGATCCTGCTCTACAAATCTTGCCTCATGGGACGCCATCTGTTGAGCTAAATCTGCGGGGTCCATGGCCCTATCGTAATGTAACGAGAATATACCCCTACACGCAGGATCCAGCTAAACAGAGGCAAATACAGAGGAGAGATACGTCTACCGGACCTTAGAATGGCCGGACTCGACGTATATGAGAGGAGACAGAGCCAGGAACAAACCGAGGTCAAGGGCACAGAGAGACAGCGTAAACTAGGACAAGCCGGGGTCTGGTACACGGAAAACAGCAAGCCGGCAAACAGTACAGATAAGGATAAAGCGAAAACGAAGTCAGAATACGAAGCCAAAGTCAATACGAGAAAACACAACTGAACACCACAAGCGCTAAAGGGAACTGAAACAGAAACCACGATAGGGCAACGAGCTAAGGGAAAAAGGTAAGTTTAAATAGCTTTAAAACGAAAGTGATTGGCTCCTGTCACTTCCACACCCCCTATAGGTAATTGTACAGGGAGTGTGGTATGACAGGAGCCAATGGGAGCCTTTTGGCAATTAGGCTCCCACTGTCTCTTTAAGAGCGCGCCCGAGACTCGCGGCGCGCTCTTAGTTTCAGGCGGGACACGTGACCGCTTCACGCGGTCACTGCCCGCCTTCCATCTGAAGCAGTCGGATGAGCCGCGCGCGGCTCGTGCAGCCGCAGGACCGCGCGCGGCTTGAAGAGAGGACCGCGACCGGCCCCCGGTTAAGGTAAGTAACGCTACAAGGGACTAATGAAAGTATTTAGAAAATTGGGCAGACTAGATGGGCCAAATGGTTCTTATCTGCCATCACATTCTATGTTTCTATGTTTCTATTTTTACAACTGCTGAAGACGCCTCTCAACATACTAATAAGATCACCAACATATCCACAGACGGGGATTGTACCATCCAGGCGCATATATCTGGAGCCGAATATAGGCTCCAGAAAATTGTAAGTGTATTTTGTTTTATTTATTATCACCAGTTACCTAAATACTACACTATATTAAATTTTCTCCTCTTACTCCCTATAGTGTTCCATCCCTATGTGGATTTGAGGATATTACTAAAGGCACTGCATCCCTGCATTTCCCTTGTTACCCAAAATAACCACAGAAGGAAGATACTCTTGCTTGGGAAGTTCAAGCTGCCACACGCATAGCTAACAAGCACCAGAAATCCTATAATTTCATCTAGGTGTCAAGGTCAATCACCCTAACACACAAACGAAAGAGCTCTTCACCGATACACAAACCAAGACATATTACCGGGCCTTAGAGTGGCCAGACTTAAAGTATATATGAGTACAGCTAGAAGCATAAAATAGTCAGACAAGCCAAGGTGTCACTGTTTACCAGGAGTTGGAGCCCAGTTGCAGGAGATGGCACAAGGAGAAGGCAAAAACCAAAGCGCAGTATAGATGAAGGGGTAATCCAAAGGCAGGGTCAGATGAAAAGCAGAAGTCAGGGCTGGTAGCAGAGTATCGTAGTCAGTAAGGCAGGCATAGGTCAGAGTCCAGGAAATCAGTCAGCAGAGTAACAAAGATCCGGAAGGAAAAACCAGACAAACAAAACAACCGGATACTAGGCCTCAGACAGAGCAGGCTTTTCTGACAAGGAGTCAGAAAGTAGACAAATACAGGTAGATATTGAAGCAAGGTAGAGAACCTTACTTTGATGCTGGAGCTGTGAGTTCAAATCCAGCCAGATCTCTTAAAGGGGTGGTCATACCTTGTGGTCTGCAGAGTTCGGGGTGCACAAGGTCAGGTTTGGAGATGGAAATATAAATGTAGAGCAAAGCCAAGGGTCAAGGATGCCAGAAGAATGGATAAGCTAGGAGCAAATCCAAAGTCAGATACCAGAAAAGTCTAAGCCAAAGAAACACACTCTCGGGCTACAAAGATGACTAATGGTATTTCCTGTCCTGACAGGTTTAGTAGTGCCCAGCTACAGCCATGTGCCCGGATATCTGATAAACCCAGCATGTCTAGGGATGCCGGTCACTGCGGATCTAAGCCCCATGACCGTCCACATTGAGGATGTCGGCGTAAGCATGACATCACACGCACACACATTTTTGGGCAAAATTACAGCCAATCGGAATAACGGGAGGGTTATTTAAATTTATTTTTTACATTCTCTCATTGCCCTGTCGTGGTTTCTGCCTGATGTTAATCCGAGAGTGCGTTCTTGATTTTTTTGGGTATTTGACTATGGCTTCATTCTGACTTCCCTGATTTCTGGAATCCTTGACTTTTGGCTTTTTCTCATTGCTGTGTCTGATTCTCTATCCCTGACTTCGGCAAGTGTTCTGACTATTCTTGGATACATTAATAAAGAAATATATATAAATAGTTTTGTAGGTGCTTCAAATATATAATTTACAATATACGTGGGTGTGAAAAAGGTGTAATCCCTTAACACCTAAAGACCAAATAATAAAGAAATAAGAATAGATTCACACACACAAAACAGGCGTAATGTACCAATATACCACCTATTACAAGTATAAATAATGTAGTTCCTGTAAAACAAATGAGATATACATAGTGCTCTTCATAGCATAAAGTATATAGAGATTAAAATATATATGGAAAAAACTCACAAAGGTGGAGCCACATAGGCTCTATGGAAACCGCCCTTGGGTGCCTGTCCAGGCTCTCAATATGCTTCAATGAAGAACTCAATATTCACAGTGCTAGGATATTTGAGTATAAATTTATTATATAATATAATTAAA